GTTTTCAGCTTGTCAGGAGAGCTTACATTTAACTCTGCTGCCACATCCAACCAGCCATCCAGTGTCCCTCATGGCGGAGTGAGGTATATAAGTGCTGATGAACCACAAGTTCAACAGGATGACTTTGGAAAAGAAATTCTAATGAAGTAATTCACCAAGCTCTCAGCCTGGATGGTGAGCACAGAGAACTTGTACTGTGCTGTGCTGAAACATTTGATTGGTTGAGACTGGATAAATGATTACTGAAAGAATGTTGGCTTTTTCACCTAAGTCATCGGGAACCTTGCTTCCCTAGCTTCCACTTTTCTACGCATCACCCCCAGCTCTTTGTCATCCTTAACCTGTATTCTGATGCCTCTGCTTAGGAGATCCTTTTCCTCCTTTCATCTGTAGCACTCATGTCACCGCCTGGAAGCCTTCCTAAGCCTGTACTTACTTACCTCCCCTTCCCAGGCTATCAGGTCCTCTCCTCAGGGCCCCTGAAGAAGATAATCTGTGCCCTGAGCCTGTCTTCATCACTGTACATTATTGCCCCATCTCCAGCCCACACTGTGTATAACTCCCTACTGTTCACTCCACTGGGCTCATCTGGTGGCGAAGGATTGATTTACTCTTCTTTACACCCCCAGCTCTTACCACGCAGGTTATCAATGATTGATTTAAGAGATCAGAAAGACTTTGTTTTCTATAATATGAAACTGTGTGAAAAACTTTTCGCTCATTTTTTCACTTCTTGCTCATTTTCCTTGGAAAACAAAAACATACACAGTTGTATTTCTCTGTCACTATCCATCCTAGTATAGTCTCAACCACTCATTGAGTATAACTACCCAAAATAACTTCCATTTCACAGACAAAACTGGGGAGGATGTTGATTTCTGTCCTACACAAGCATTTTAGCAGATTGGTAATGCTCATGAACACACGTAGTACCACTTCTGTAGCCCCACCCCCACCACACACACATCCCTTCCATACCTTCTTAAAATGGCAACAAAGAACATGTTCACTAACATGATCCAAAGCTATAGCCTCTCTAAAGCATACAAAAATAAGCAAAAGTATGTAAACTTTAAATTAGGCTTAGTAGTTAACATGTCGGTACTTTATCATACTTAAAAATTATCTAGGTATCCAGTAATTAATTAATCCATTAACTCATTGTAATTTTAGTCCAAGATTTTAAGTTACTTAAAGATCTTGGAAATTGTCTTCAAGCTGACATATTAAAAATATAATTACTGTTCTTCCCAAGACCCATAGCCCTATTCTAATCATAAGAAAAACATCGGATAAATTCCAATAGAGGAGCATCCTACAGTATCCTTAACCAGTACTCCCCCAAGCAGTTAATGTCATCAAAACCAAGTTGTGTCTGATACTGTGACAGCCAGGAGGAGCCTAAGAAGATATGACAACTAAATGTAATGTGGTGTCCT